CTTCGGGCCCTGAGGGCCCCGCCGCTGGGGCCGCACACTCACCCCACCCCGCCCCGCAGCGCTGGACTCCAGGTCCGCGGGGCCCCAGGGAGGGGAGGATGGGGGGAGCGAAGGGGCAGCCCCGCCTTCCGCAGGAAAGGGGAGCGCCTCTCTACTCGGGCTCGCCCGGGATGCCCGGCTCCCGGCGCCCTCCGGCTCCACCGGGGACATCCGGGGCCTGCCGCCCTCTGCCCTCGGGGACCTCCCTTCCAGCAACAGCCGTGAGCCCTGGGGAGAGACTGCGGCCTCTGAGCCGAGGCGCGGGCTCCCCGATCCCGGGAGGGAGCCTGGGGCAGCCCCAGTGGCCTAGAGGCGCATCTGCCGAGCAGACGGTAACTCCGAGGGGGCAAGGTGCGCGAGGAGCGCTTGTTATCCTCGCCCGGAGCCAGCAGCACCTGCTCCCTCCTGGAGACGGGTTGTGCCCGGCAGAGCGGGGCTGACCAGAAAGGGGCACCGTCCCAAGGTCATGCAACCTGCTAGAGACAAGGCTGGCTGGGAGGCACGTCCAGGTCGCCCAAGCGAGTCTCACCTTGGCTCAACCTGCTGCCCTGCAAGGGGTCCCATTAACAGATCTAAGACTCTGGCGGGCGGGGCTGGAGGGGAAAGGGGAGGGTTTTAGTGGCATAACATCTGGCAGAGGGGTCAGCCCAGCCCCTCCCCAAACTGTGTGAAAGGGCTGGCCAGACCCCTTGGGGGAGACAGAAGGAAGGGCGCTGAGAAACGGGAGTCTGAGGCAACGTGGCAGATTGGGTAAGCATGACCCTTGCATTCAGGCCTAGGTGTGAATCCCAGGCCTCTCTGTTGCTAGCTGTCTGAGTCTCCTCTCTCTGACTTAAGGTAAGAAAGCAGTAGCACTTCCTTCGTTCCCATTTCGGGGCCATCTGAGCTGGGAGGGTCCTTAGAGATTACCTGGCCCAACCCCCTCATTTCCATATGGGAAACAAGCCCAGGGGCCCGGGGACCAGCCCCAAATCCCACAGCTTGTCAATGGCAGGAGCAGCAGGTCTCCAGACTGCTTTTGCTCTGAGGCCAGCCGCCTGTCTCCATTCATTAGGGCTTTCCTGAGTGCCTGCTTTGAGCTTAGCTTTGAGGCCAAGTGCTAAGAGGCAAAACAAAAGCATAACAAGCAGGATAATAAAGTTACAAGAAGCTCTCGTATTTATATCATGCTTGCTTATTTTTGCCCCAAAGCATTTTCACATCCATTATTGACCTTGCTTCTCAAAATAAATACCTTTTGAGGTAGAAAGAGGAGACGTTGCATTCTTGTTTAACTGATGTAGCAGAAAGAGGATAAGTGACTTGCCCAAGGTCACAGGCTAGTCACAGAGCCAGGAAAAGCCACTCTTCCCAGCTGTGATTCCTGGTGCCTGTAGGGGACTCCCTGCAGTGGTGACAGCATGTAGGGGGACTGCCCCACTCATCTCACCTTCACCTGGCTCTTTCCTCCCTGTTGAGAGGTACAAAGCAATCTACATGCTGAGCACCTACCACAGTCCCACCGCACAGAAGCTAAGCAGAAAGACACAGAGAGGACCGGTGAGTCCCTGCACACACAGCAAGTGAGAAGAGAAGCCAGTTATACACTCCATCTGCTTTTATTTATTTAAGACAAGAGGTTCACTCTGTTGCCCAGGCCAGAGTGCTGTGGCATCAGCCTAGCTGACAGCAACCTCAAACTCCTGGGCTCAAGCGATCCTCCTACCTCAGCCTCCCAAGCAGCTGGGACTACAGGCATGCACCAAGATGCCGAGCTAATTTTTCTATTTTTAGTAGAGACAGAGTCTCACTCTTGCTCAGGCTGGTCTTGAACTCTTGAGCTCAAGTGATCCTCCCACTTCAGCCTCCCAGAGTGCTAGGATTACAGGTGTGAGCCACCACACCCAGCCCACCCCATCTGTTATGTGTACCTTGCCTTGTTCAAAATAAAATTAAAGGTGGCAGCATCCACCCTTCCCAACTCAGTACCCACCGCCTTAATGAACCACACACCCCTCCCAGGCACATGGTGCTTGACAGTTTGAAAAGCATCCCTGTGACTATTATCTCCTTCCTAATCAACCTTCAGAAGTGGGCAGCACTGAGACCTTAAGGCTCATTTTTCAGGAGGGCTTGAAGTTTGGGTGATGTCTCCAAGGTCACACAGAAGTTCTAGGGAAAGTGTGAATCAATATGGCATTCCTCCACCCCTGCCCGCCCAACTGTTGTCATGACAACAGCCTCACTCAATCCTCCATTTCTTCCAGCCTTTGGTGGGGTATCCCTTCATCCTGGAGGCAATGCATGCCCTGGACTCCATTCCTACTGGGCCCACCCCCAAAGTCAAGGGGCTGGCTCTGAGCCAGATGCCCAGGGCTGTGTTGAAGATGCCAGATCCAGGCGCAGGGACCACGTAAGGCAAGAGTGAAGGCCGCCCTCCCTACCTCCCAGCAAGGAACCTGGCAGTAGGTCTGGGGCAGTCAAGTTCAAATCCTCATTCTGTCATTTCCTAGCTCTGTGGTCCTTTCATTTCTCTATGCCTCGGTTTCCTCATGTGTCAAATGAGCATAGTAATTGTTCCTACTGGTTTATTCTGGGGAAGGAGATCATACATGCATCATGCCCAGCACATAGTAAGTCCTCAATAAATATAGTGGTTATTATTGGCTGTGGACTCTCTTTGTGTTTTTGAATAAGCTGAGTCTCTAGGCCGCTGACTCTACATCACCAAATGGGAAACCTGGGAAAGACCGCATCTTCTTTTCAGTTGCAAAACCAGTTCTCCCAAATCTAAAGTAGATAAAACCTGCTTGAAGCAAAGGTGGGTGTCCCAGAGACTTACCTCTCGCTTCCCCCTCCAACTTCACCTGAAATTCCTCCACCAAACCCCAGGACTCTAGAATTCAGAACCACAGGACTGGACCATCTCCACAGGCCCTTTCAGCATAGACATTCCAGAATCACAAATAAGTGTTCAGAGAGCCCAGCTGTGCACTGAGCCCCACTCTAGAGCTGGTGGATGGAAAAAGGGAAGATGGGCTCCGGCCGGGCCGGCATAAAATAGAGGCTCGGCACACATCAGCTCCCCTTGTTCCCACTCCCTCCCTCCAATCTAGATGGGGAAACTGAGGCACAGACAGCAGCATCGCACAGTGATGGCAAGACACAGAGAGGACAGTAGCAGTGGCTATTCCAGCCCCAGGTGCAGAGCATCGGCCGGCCAAGCCGGCTCCCGTGGAGACCGAGCGCTGGGAATGCTGAGCCTTGCCAGGGCTGGCTCAAACCCTAGACGGTCGGCAGGGAAGGCCAGGATGCAGTGCCATGTCAATGGCCAGCTGGTCACCTCCAGAGAGGCTAAGTGGCCTCCCAGCAGGGCATCACCACTCTATGCCAGGGCTGGATAGAAACCCACGCCACCACCGCCCCTCTCAACTCAGGGACTGGAACCTGGGTGCAGCCAGTTTCCCGACCTCCTTGAAAGACAGGGCCTCTTTCCCCACCCCAGCTCCATCTCCTAACACACACGCGCACACACACACACACACACACACGCAAGCACACAAACACACATGCACAAACACACGCAGTGAGTGACCGCTCATTGACTGATTGGAGGTGGCTTAGAGCTGGAATCAAGGAATGCTGAGAATCCGTCCATTCATTCATTCAGCAAACAACGTTGGGGACATTATTGGCAGACACAGTCCTGTCCCCCAATACAACTCAAGGAGTGTTAACTTCTGAGTTTAATCACTAAGACCCTTTCTTCAAATAAAATCTTACAAGCAAACTCAATAGATGAAAATTAGATAAAGGGTGAGCTGATGAGATTATAGGGGCAGAACCCCACCATTTGGGGCCTCCACCCTGCACTGGTCTCCAAAGGGTCTCCCAAGAATGCCTAACACTCTGCAAGGCTCAGTTTGAACACCACTCCTCAAGTTCATCTAGTGCAACCCCCTCACATTATGGTTGGGGAAACTGAGGCCCAGACAGGGAATGGTGGAACCCAGGTCTCCTAACTCCCACATTCCCGCCACTGCGAGTGCCACACGTCACACTCAGAATCGCATGGAGGGAGAGGGGTTCCAGCAGTGCACAGTTAGCCACAACATAAACAGTGTTTTTTTTTTCCCAAAAATGAAGTTTGAGGTGTCTTTTAAAATAAAATAAAAAGTTTTTATTGCACCAACAACTCACAAAATGTAAGTCACAAGGACTCTTCAGGAAAATGTAACAGTGAGGACAGGTGGGAGGAGTTTAGGATGAAAT